AAGTCTCCAGATGCCCTAGATATTGGGGCCTAGGAAATTGCAAAAACACTCCTACCATTAGCTTAGATGAGACTAAATGCATTTTCTTTTTTCTCAAAAGAAAAAGAAAATAATCCAAAAGCATAGAAACTAATATCTCACCTTAGTTTATCCTGGGTACAGACTGACATCAATGATCTATCACTTACACGTCCCATTTCTCCAGATTTCACCTCAGGACTGGCCTTGGCTTGCATTTGAGAATTCCCTCAGTTTGAGCAGAGGTGATTCTAAACTGCAGCACTACAGGTCTGGTAGGATGGGGGCATCACAAACCTACTTCCTTGGCTGTTTGGAGACTCTCCTCAGAGCCAGTCATCCCCTTGGAGAGAGAGGCTGAGTCCACTGACCTGGCTAGCTAGTTCTGGACACTACCCAGGTTAATAGTGGCTTGAGAATGCCTCTCAATTTCTGCACCCCTAAGTATTAAAAATGGCTGGTAAAAGGACACTGAGCAGTGCTGCTGCAAGGGCTGAGGTAAAAAAGTTTTCTGATCAGTGACTTTTCACCTACAATTGAAAGACCTAGAAGTCTCACCAGACTGTGGAAGAATCTGGTCTAAAAATTAGTGCTTCTTCTGTAATAGAAGATGGTAATACAGGCATGGTGGCGCACACCTGTAATCCCAGCACTTGGGAGGCTGAGACAGAAAGAAGACAACTAGTTCTAGGGCAGCCTGGGCTACATAGTGAGTTCAAAGTCAGCCCGAGCTACATAGTGAGACCCTGTCTCAAAAAAAAAAAAAAAAAAAAGATAGGTTCAATGGATTATGGACTACCCCTACAATGAAACGTCAGAAAAACATTTAGAATAGAAGACAGTTGACAAGGAAAATGTCATAGTGTGCCATTACATGAAAAGACGGGTTATAAAAATGGGATATAGAATATTATCTCACTTTAATTAATTATATAAAATAAACATTTAGTTTTTAATATGAACATATTTTATATTAACAAAGCATTGAGTAAAGTGCTTACATGAATTGTTTTATGTAAATGACAATCCTGTAATGTGAACAGATATTCATCATCTTGCAGATGAGGAAACTAATAGTAAGAGGTTAAGTCATTTGCCACAGTTCACTTAGATGACAGAACTGAGGTACAGACCCAGGTAAGTTAGACTCAAGATCTCAAACTCTTTAACATTGGCACCATTATCTATGCCTATATCTGTAGAGAAAAAAAGTCAAGAAAGATGGACAGCAAGATGTTATTGGTTATTGTTTCTTCTGTGAAGTGAGATTGTGAGTGGCTTTTGCTCCCTTTATACTTTCCCTAGTACTTTAAAACTTGTGTGATTTACATGTATTTTTTTGTACCAAGGATCAAACTTGGAACCTTGAACTTGCAAGGCAGGTGGCAGAACCACTGAGCTAAATCCCTGACCCTGGATTATTTTCATAATCAGGAAAAAACAAAAAATCAATTTCCATTCTGAAAAAAGCCAACAAGCTATTGTTTGCAACCTGTACACAGCAAGCAACTGGGGGATAACTTTATTATAAGGACTCTTAAATTCTCCATCAAACACAGTTGTGTAGAATGAATAAATTATATGCTTGTACATATTTCTTTTCAAACACATGCAAATACTATACGTATACACATACTGGCTTTAGTTTGTCATATATTTCTCAATTGAAATTAAAAATACAACTATTATCATGTATAGGTCTGTGGCATTTTAAACATTAAAATACTAAAGCAAGGGTTGGGATCTAGTGCTAAACAGAAAAATATATGGGGGGGGTCAGCTTTCCGTACTTTGAGTATTTTCTGTACAATTTATATCTTTTTTTCAGGGGGCAAGAAGAAATAGAGGGAGAAACTGAGAATTCATACACTATTAAAAGTGTTTATAAGGATGCGAGAGTGTGGAGATGGAGTTGGCCTAGGATATTCTCTTCTGACAGAGTGCTAATCTCCCCTGTATTGCCTGGGACAAGGCCCCGTCCTCACCCACAGGGTGATACCGACACACCAGCAGGGTAGTGGGGCTGCAATACCTGAGCACTAACATTTGCTCTAAGTCCAGGCTGATTTCCAATCACCAGGAAAACTTGGGCTAGGAGAGCACTCAGGAGAATAAGGGAAGTAAAGGGCGTGAGACTTTCTGTTTTGCCAAACTGCCTTGAAGGTCAGCACCTCCCTTCCTTTCTCTTTCTTCCTTTTCTTTTATAATGTGTCCTCTACTACTGTATAGCTCATTGTCTCCCACTGAAGTCCCCAGAACTTCGGTCATCTCATTACATATTAGAAACCACTGGATCACAGACCTGAAACATAAGACACGCGCTGATTATTCACTCAACACTAAGGTCCTTTGGCTTTTCAGGCATGAAGAACAGTTACACTGACAAATAAAATATGGTCTCAATCCCTTTAGATGCATACAATTTTCAGGTGGAATAAGCGAAAATCAAAACACACATGCATGCATACACACACATACATACAAACACACACACAACCTGATTTGCTTTAATAGGCATGAAGTTAAAAAAGGTAAGAGACAGATCTAAGAGATGAGCAAGAGTTTGGCCTGTATGTGGGACTCACCTAGGAACCAGGCTCCACACCCCATCTCATGGAAGTTGGATCTGAAGCTCAAAATATTGGTCAAGGAAAAACAGTCTTTAATAACTCAACGATAAGTGAGGGAAGAAGGGAGATTGTTCTATACTAAAAGCAAATTAGGAGCTGGGGATTTAGCTTAGTGGTTCCACTCGCCTGGCAAG